AATAGTTGCATACCATAACTATGAGTTATGGCAAATGAATATCAAAACTACATTCTTTAATAGGAATTTACAAAAGGAAGTGTACATGACACAACCCGAAGGTTTTGAATCCAAAGAAACCAACAAGGTATGCAAGCTTGATCAATCCACAAAATGTTTTATTACAATTGAAGATGAACAATGTGTTTACAAGAAGATAGGGGAGTATTGTCGCATTCTTAACAATATATGTAGATGACATATTATTAACAGAAAAAAACGTCTCTATGTTTCAATTGTTGAAATTATGGTTGTCAAAGAATTTTCATGTGATAGATATGGGAAAAGAAACTTGATCTATAGAAATATATGTAGAAAATTGCTTAACTCATCCTAATCTATATAGATAAAATCTTGAGAAGATTTTATATGAAAAAAATGAACTCAGGGTTTATGGATATACCGATACTAACTACTAGTCAGACTAGAATGATAACTAATCACGATATTGGTTTACTCTTAAGCGGTATATTGGAAAGGTTCCAAATAGGAAACAATCGTTGATTCAATAGTAGAGGCCTTATACATCATTGCTTTAGAAAACAACAAAAGTTGTGGTCTGTCAATAGTTTCCAAAGTTCTTCCAACTCCGGGGCTGCCATGCAATAAAGAGCCATGGCCGGAGGTTTAGCACTAACTTCCAACTTGATGCGTTGATCAACTTCTCTCTTAGGCAGTAGTTTCTTTCGCATCTTCAACGACATCACATAATTATTTTCCTCAAGGACTTTTCTAATTTCAGTCGATAAAATTACATCATCAACGGTGACTTCTGACTCAATGAAAACTAAGCCATGAAATTTGTTTCTCCATTTTTCTAGCCTTTAGCTAACTACATCGTCGAAAGCTGCCTTGTTTCCATCCATACAGTAACTGTAGGAAGAATGAACGAGGATTCTTTTTCCAAAATGCAAACTAAACCAAAACGAAGGCATGGGAATTACGTTTACATTCCGTAGGAAATCCAATCCTAACAGGTCCATGCCACGAACCTTGCCTTAGTTCTGTCCCCATGAACTATGCCACCTAACTGCAACCTAAGTCTAATCAACTTTGGATATAAACAATTTTAATATATAATTGATGCATATTTATGGCAAGATCTATTATTTAATTGAATTAATATTCTAATAAATTAGATAATAGAATCTATAGATTCAAGTATCTGTAATTGGTTATTCACAAGGAGTTGTGATTGTGAGATACAAATTACAAATGACTGAATCTTAAATCAGATACAGATATCGTTATTACGTATATACTATCACATGCGGCATTTCTTACTTGCGAAATAAGTAG